GGGCTTTCTTACAGGTGGACGACTTTTGATTTTCTGTTATTATCTTTTTTTGTACATGTACAGTGTTGGCGTGGGATTGGGATGCATTTCTTATTCTTGGCCTCTCATCTTTTTACAGGTTAGCATTGGAGTTATTTGCTGTATATACCTTGATTTCTGGTCTTGTCCTATGTCATTGAACATTACATACATGGCGACATGGCGACATAAACACATGTCTAACTTTCCGATGGCTTCCAACTATGCAAATATTATCTGCAAATAAGCCAGAACCCTATTATACCTGCCATATACATAACATACCTACATACCTGACAACGCCAGTGCTCAAATTGATCGCCACGTTTTCACGCCCATCAAGCCTGCATAAGTCTCGATTCGTATCGAGCCCGGCGCGACAACCTAATGATTGCCCAACTAGACCACATACTCCATACAATACGGAGCAATCAAGAACTACGGAGTAGAAACAAGAAACTAAGGCCCTGGCGGCGGGGATTATCCACGCGCTGCAGGCATTAGCCTGGGAGATCCATAGACCAAGGGAGGAGAGGGGGTCGGCCCCCGGAAACTAACCACGTATACACACGGAGAATGGAGTACGTACACCAGTGGTAAAAGTAGAAGCGCTGAAACGCCAATGTCCCACGTCTTCGGTCGCGTTCGTGTAAGACAAAAAGCGAGGCTCGTGATACATCTACTTATATAAACCGTCCATCCCTTTTCAAGAACCAAGCTTTTACAAGAACAAACCAAGACCAACCAAGAATTCCAATCAGTCAGTCAGTCAGCAAAAATGCGCGTCGGAAACAGAGTCAAGCACATCTTCAGCTTCTCATTTACGAATCGTCGACCTAATCGGTCAACGTGGAAAGAGAAATCCCCCGTCGCCGTCACCGATGATTCCTCCTCCTCCTCCTACTCAAACGACTCAGACTCCGACGATGCGATTCACATCTCCGAAGACGAAGGCTCGGATCCCTCAGATGTCGACGACGATGACGACGAGTATGCATCGCCAAGTAAACGCGTGCGGATAATCAGCTGGAGACTTGATAATAATAAGATGGTTCCGGGACGGTGTCGGTGGACGCTGGAACAGGAGAAACGGTTACAAGCTGCGCAGCAGCAGTTGGCGAGGTGTCAGAAGGCGTGGAGTTCGGAGCAGGAGGTTTGGTTGAAGCATGTACGTCCCTTTCTCTCTCCCCCTTGCTACATATACATACATAGTTGTACTTTGTACCTGTACATCATGGTATGCTGTACGTATGCTGTAAGGAAATGTGTTAACACATACATTCATGCAGATCGAAAAACTGCACGAAGAAAAAGCCGCACATGAGGACTTTGTACATCTCCGCGCGAAACAGCAACAAGATGAACGTGTCCATTTCCGGAAGGCATTGAAGCGTAGGGAACAGGAGCAGGGGGATTCAGGGACAACGAGTGATGAGGATGAAGAAGGTCTACGGAGGAATCAGAGTTTGAGTCGGTTGAGGCGGTTACGGAGGTTTTCATGATTTTATGTTTTCTTTTTATTAGAACATAGCATTACAGATTGCATGTGCATAGTTTAGAATGTCTATATTCGGCATCGCTGACCCAAGTATTACTGAATGATGTCTGACAACTAGGGTATACCCCACGGGGCAGCAGTAACAATGGAACATCCCCTCGCTAGACAAGCATTTCAATGCCGGAGAAAAGCCGTCAATGGCAGATGTCATGTTTCCGGGAAGTTTTAACCCGTTTGAGAAGCATCACCACGCGGGGTTTCTTGGAAAGCACAAGGCTGTTTAGTATGACAGTGTGCATTTTCACTTCAATATCAGCGATAGTTATCTTTACCAGTTTATAGACAATGGCTTTTTGGATATTGAGCAGTTAGTATTCGACTACGATGCCGCGAGACGGCTCGCGTGGGCGATTGCGATCGTATGAAGCCTGTCTAAATTGTCGGTATGTATTGCTTACTTGAATGCATGTATAGATCTAATGTCAGATATCCAGACGAAAGAAAACACGATGTCCAGCAGAGAGGCCTGTGTGTTCAAGTTGTGCTCGTCTCAATCAGACATGTCTCTATACATCTGGTCGGAGAGCATCGCACCAATCGGTAGGGCTCTTTTTAGCATCAACGCGGGAGGTGGGTGCTGATGGAATCAATGGCTTAGGAGGACCGACTAGCATCACTGGAAGAAAAGGTTGATTTTATCATGAAAGGGTCTAAGTAGGTATCTCGCTATAATCTACTATCTGAAAGAGGGCTCTGACAAAGTTAGACCCTGCGATGAAGATCCATCTCCCGCAAAATCGTCATCGAATTCACTTCCCAGCGAGTCGAACTATGCCCTCAATAATCTGCTTGCCCCAGAGCTTGGTTTCGAAGGCCCCGAAGACTCCAGTCTGCATATATCATCGCCTACCGTCGCCAAAGCAGTAGATCTCTACTTCCAATACTGCCATCGACAGCCTATCTGGTGTTTCAATTACGAAGATCTTGAGGACATGGGATTTCTGCCAAAGGAGCTTGTCTATAGTATCCTCACGCTGACGTCCCGTTTCTGCGTCGCCCACGACCAGTCACAGTTCTACAGCAACACGGCGAGAACATTGATCATGCTTCGTGTCGCAAGTGGCACTGTAGACCTTGAGACCATCGAGAGTCTGTGTCTGCTCACATATTCACTCTTCATGGACGGAAATGTGTCTCTGGGCCAGTTTCACTTGGGATTCGCGTTCCAGCTTTGTCTCACAGCCATGATTGATGTTGAAGCCGCTGCTCCAGCTAAGAGTCCTCTGGCTCAACGGAAGAAAAGAGTCTTCTGGGGCCTTTTATCACTGGAACGGTCGTACGGCCACCAGAACAGGCTGTTCAGACTCTCCGCTGAACCATTGTGTCCCTGCTGCATCCCAAACAAGACAGAAGACGACGAAACCATGAGCTGCTCAGACCCCGAAATCGACATATGGAGTCTATCCTCTCACTTCGGCTGGGTCTGGAGCAGAGTGCGAACCTACGTTTCTGACTGTGCCCATAACAGCCTCAAAGAACCCTGGCGTCACGACTCCATGTACACAATGATCCTCTCCGACCTTACCTCCGCCGAGAACAAGCTCTCCCAAAACCACCGCTACGACTCGGTCAAATTCTACGAACGCACAGCATCCGAAGTCCGTCTGAACAAAAGTTACTGGGGTCCCTGGCTGAAACTACAGTTCACATACCACTGTATCCTGACCATGCTCAACCACCCGTTTCTCTACATCGTCGCGTCCCAGCATAACCCAAACCTAGCTATTCCGAATGCATTTTGGAGAAGGTCGAGCGAGCTGGCGTTGTTGCATGCTACCTGGATCGTGAGGATTGTTGATATGGTGACGGAGAAGGAGATGAGGCTTACGGAGGCTTTCTTTGGGCATGCGGCTGCTGTTGCTGCTACGGTGCATCTTTATTATTGTCGGGCGGCGGATCCGAGGTTGAAGTTCAAGTCGAAGACGGATCTGGCGAAGTGTAGGAGGTTTTTGGAGGGGTTTGTGGAGTTTTCGCCTGCTTGTCGGGCATTGGTGAGTGCAACTATGTCTACAGGAAAGAGATTCATACTGAACACCACAGGATCAAACGCTGGAAAAGATAATACATATAGCATTTGGTTCCGAGAATGTTGATTACGACTGGACTCCCTCCCGAATTTACCTCAGCGTTAGTCTAATGTGGGACATCCTACGAGCAAACTGTACCCCGGAGACGCAAGAACCATCTACAACCGGCCTTCTTCATCCATCCCTCACACCCACAATCACACGCGAAAGCTCAGCACAAAGCTCATCCACTCTCGAGATCATCGTCGCCATGTCCCCAGAAGTCACCGTGAATACCGCAGATGGGGGACAAGCGGCGCACATGCCTCCAAGGGTGCGAAATACAACAGCAACAATAACGGCTCCGGCACCATCATCTCCGGACATTGATCTTAGGGGAGAGAGATTGATCGTGCCGAGTGATAATCTTATGCTGAATACGCCGTGGTTGTGGACTGATCCGAGTCAGTTTGGGGATGTGGATGGGGTGAATCGGCAGGAGTTGGAGAATAGTATGGATGGGTTGTTTACGTGGTGGGATTTGGGGAATTTATAGCGGATTCTTGTAGACATACTGTTTTCCAAATGTGTGTGCATAATATTAGATGCAAAAGTTGCCATTATCTTGTTCTCATTAAGTATCAATAAACATGAAGCCAATAGTTACCGCCTTCTAAAACTATATCTTACTCTGCCGCGACGAAGTAGCCTTCAGCGCAGTACTGAAGGTATCTCGTTCCTGGAAGGTCAATTCTCTCCTCTCCGGACCACCACGGCTTCCATCCCCCTTAAAGATATCATCCTGTAACTGATTCTTGTACTCTGTCGGGAACTTCCACTTCTCCAGCAAGTCCTGCGGGAGGCTCTTGTCGAAGCATCCAACGATGTACTTTCCGATGTTTGGCAGGAATTTGAATGCACTGTAGTCATCAGTTAGCCAGAATCTAGGCAATTCAGAATAGGGGTATGCTTACTGTCCACTTCCACCAGTCGCGATGAACAGATTCTTGTGGTCTGGGTGGTAATCCATAATGAAATCGCCAGAAGGCGTGTCATTGTACCAACACAACCCCACCTTCTCAAACCCCCGTGGCTCCAGATCCGGGAAGATATCCTTCATACCGGCACGCAGACGCTTAATCCCATCCTCGGGAATGAAGTTAGCCCTAGCGGATGGCGGGGCGTTCGGAGGCGCGGAGATGTTGTTTTCACCAGACTGGGTGTACCCATAGCCATGGCAAGCGACTTTCAGAATCCCAGTACCATCATGAGGCGGGAAGCAGAAGAACCCAGTCGACAGGTTAAAGTAGATAGGAAGGTCCTTGAGCTTGACCATTTCCTCGGGAGTAAGGCGCATGTAGCCCACGATCTGCGCTGCCGCAATCATGGTATTCCACGAGGGAACGAGACTAGCTGACCAAGCGCCAGTCGCCACGATGAACATGTCACCCGCGACACTGTTCCCACCGCTTGTGCGAACAGCCTTGACAGTCCCATCGGACCTCTTCTCGAAATCGGTGACATTCCCATTCGGCCCCGTGATAAACGAAACCCCAGCATTAACACACCTCGCCGCGAGCCTCTGCGTCGCCAAACCCGCATCCGCCCATCCAGCACTCGTATTACAAAACGCATCGAAACCGGGAGACCCCAACTTCCCCGTAAACCCAGGAAACTCCCTCTTCGCCTGCTCCGCCGACGGCACACCATGCCACGGCTCCCCCATTTTCGTCAACACGTCCCTAGTCTTGCGACTATACTCCTCCGCCATTTCCTGCACGGGTTGTCCCGGGGACGCCTTCTGCGTAACCCACAGACAAGGCGTTTGGTGGAAAGCTTCTTTAAACGTCGGGGTGAGCCAGAGATCGTAGGCTTCCTTGGCCATGCGGGCGTAGACTTCGTCGCCGTAGTCGAAGCGGATTACGCGGGAGATGTCGTTGGAGGAGCCATCGGGGACGGGGGGGAGGGCGCGGTCGAGGATGGTGACATTTTGGTAGCCTTGTTGTTTGAGGGTGAGGGCGGTGCCGAGGCCGAAGATGCCAGCGCCGACGATGATGATTCTTTGGTTCTTGTCGTTGGTCATTATTAAAGATCTTGGGGGGGGATTAATGGTGAAAGTTGGTTACTTTTGGGCGGGCAGGCTTTATAAATCTACAACGTGCTCGATCTTTCCGTCCTCAATTGTCACCGACTCTGCGGGGGTACTCCAATTGAATGTGCAAGAAGCAGCTAATTGTCAAATCAGAGCATTGGTACAAGCTACCAAACATCCACATTAGAAGCAAACCCAGCTTCTCCAATACTGTTGTCTGGTCCTACCTGTCCCTTTCCTGGAAAACATTACCCAATAGAGTAATCAATATCTATCATGCATCCGGGCCCATAATATTCAACATCCCGGGATCCGTGCACATGACTTGTCCGCGCAGCTATCATGCACAAATTGTACACAACCCTGTATCCAGCAGTAATTTGGTCGCGGGGCGGAAAGTTCTTGGGTCTCGGATGGCCTCCGAACCGTCTAGAACGGTTCACCCGGGCCGGGTTAGGGCTGTTATCTCCCCGCATCCGCTCACGTGAGCGGCTCCGGTGCAGATGTTGAGATAGCTGTGTTGGTTGTTCGTGTTTGTTCTATTTTGGTGAAAATATGCTTTTTTGGGGTTTACTGATACTGGAGATAGTGTATGGTTTGCACGGTTGTTGTCTACTGGGCTTCCCCGCGTCCGCATGTGTTGAGATAACGAGAATTCGACAATCAAATCGCTCTGATACCAACAGACGACGACGTAACAACCAAGAGAAGAAGGAATACCCCGATAAACTCCTATCCCTGGCCCCGATGCTCAACACTCTTAACTAAAGATGTCTGAAATGCCCCAGATGGAGATGCGATTAGTCAGCAGGATGGCGATTCCGAAAGATTTGCCGAGTGCAACCGGCGCGTATTGAAACATCGCACTCTCGTTTTGATGACTCTTCCCAAAAGCTCCGATAATGCTGCTCCAACTTATACAAGGTCTTCAAGGTCTCAATGCTTCTACGATTCTCTATGGCTCCATAGCTCTCGTGCTGTTGCTAAGCCTGGTCTTCGCGGCTATCGTCCAAAATGGAAACACCTCTAAAACACGCCGGTCACTTCGACACCTGCGAAAGATCGGCCTATCAACCAGCAACAGCAACATGACAGATCAATATGACTCCAAATACGCCATACCAGAAGACATCGCAACTAATGGCGCAATCCGCATCAAGTCAATCTACATCTACCCGGTAAAATCATGCGGGCCCATCGAGCTGAATCGTGCCTTACTTACCAAGACCGGATTCATGTACGATAGATGTTTCGCGATTGCAGCAGAAACAGATGGCAAATGGCGGTTTATCAGCCAGCGGACGAAGCCGGGAATGGCGCGGATTGAGACGGAATTGTGGCTTCCGCATGGGGGGAGTGATTCGTCTGATCTGCTGGTGAAGGCGGGTGGGTGTGTAGTTTTGAGGTTTCGGGATCCGGATGTTCCTGATTGGACTGGGAGGTTGGAGATGTTCTTGCGTACGGGGAATTTCTTTGCGACACCTGAGGTAGCTGTTGTTGTGCCTCTTCAGCCTGTGGATGAGTTGAAACACAAGACATTCAATATCCATCGTCGTGACACGAACGGGCTTGATATGGGACGGAATCCGTCTATCGCAGTAGCGCTGCCTAAGCTGAAGAAGTTCCTGGCAATCCCGGAGAAACAACCATTCACACTCTTGAGATGTACACCCGAATCTCTCCTCCGTACGGATCTGAATCTCGCGCCGCTTGAATACATCGGTTCCCCCGCCATGCATGGGTACACGGACCAGCAACCAGTCAATATCAACAGCTTATCATCGGTACACGCTGTATCCACCCTTCTGCCAAAGGAAAACCAACCTATGAATGCACTTCGCTTTCGCGCAAATCTCTGGGTCACAGGTGCTCCCGCTTACGCAGAAGAGACATGGAAACGCTACCGCATCTTACCCAAATCCGGCAACACAGAACCACGGGCTAATGTAGCACCGGCATTATCCGTAGTCTGCCGCACGTCTCGATGCACAATACCTAATGTCAACCCAGATACGGGTAAATTCGACGCAGACATCCCGCCTCCAGAAAAGAAAAAGGGTAAGCCACAACCAAGCACGACTTTAGTGGAGTATCGGACCGTCGAAACGGGAAATAAGGCAGCGCTGGGGTATCTGGGTATGCATTGCGTGCCAGAAGATAGGGACTTTAGGGAAGCTGAGGAGCAGGGAGATGGGTTATATGTTGAAGTTGGTGATGAGGTTGAGGTGCTTGAGACGGGGGTGCATGTTTATGGGTCGACGGGGAATGATTACTAGAGTTGCGTTACGATACATTAGATTAGGACTGCATGTACATTCTAGTTTGTACATATGCATGGGTATCTGATATCTTCTAAGAACTCGCGATAACATCTCGATCTTTGAGGTGATTATTTGCCAAATTGGGATTCGGAGTCCATATACCCACTTTAACCCCTCTATCCGCTCTATGGAAATCTTAATCATTCTCGGTAAATGCTCTCCCGTCCAACCAAATCACGCATAGCAATCAAATGATCCAAAAACGGCATAGAGCCGTGAAGAACTGTCAACAAGGCCCATTTCTATTGGCCGGGAATGAAACTGTTATCAACTTACGGGCGAACACCCGATCACGGGATCGGGAGAAACCCTCATTGTATACTATACGAGTTGGGATATCCTGGCTCAAAGACGACTATATCAAGGTCCAGCCCGCTCAGTGAAAGTCAACAATCAACTACCACCAGTCTCAGCTTTGAAAGCAATTTTTTAACTATCACAATGTCCCTCTGGAAAAACTATTTCGGTCTTGAACCAGTTGCCTCCTCCAGCGCCACGCCCACAGGCAAGGAGACTCCCGCCAGAGCCCTCCCTGCCTCCTGGTACACCTCACAGGAACTCTACGAGCTCGAGCGCCGTGCAGTCTTTTCCCGCAAGTGGCTACTGACCACCCACATCCTGCGCCTCCCCAACACAGGTGACTGGATACAGTACAAGATCACCGGCTACCCATTCGTCCTCGTAAAAGACCGCCAGGGCCAAATCAACGCTTTCCACAACGTCTGCCGCCATCGCGCCTTCCCCGTCGTCACCGAGGAATCCGGCACCTCGCGCATCTTCGCCTGCCAGTACCACGGCTGGTCCTACGGTCTTAATGGCAAGCTCGCCAAAGCCCCAGGCTACCAAGACGTCGACGGCTTCGACAAGTCCAAGAATGGGCTCCTCCCGATTCATGTACACGTTGACAACAATGGGTTTATCTGGGTGAACCTGGATGGCGGGGAGAAGCCTGAGATCGCGTGGGAGGATGATTTCAAGGATATTGATCTGCAGCCAAGGTTCAAGGACTTTGATTTCACGGACTACGAGTTTGATCATACGTGGGAGACGGAGGGGGAGTATAATTGGAAGATTTTGGCGGATAATTACAATGAGTGCCAGACGTCGCATCCAGATATTCCGGCGTTGGCGGATCTGAGTGCCTACACTATTGATACGAAGCCGGATCAGATTGAGCGGGGGTTGAAGATTGCTAGTACTTACTATTTCCCCAATGCGAGCATGACTGTCTCGTGAGTTCCCCTACCTTCCCACCTTTTACTCAGTCTGTTATGCTTGTGCTAACTACATAGACCCCACTTCTTCTTCATGCAACGCTTCGTTCCCACATCCCCTACAAACTGCGCCATGAAATACGAAGTCTACCGCAACAAATCATCCTCCGCCGAAGACTTCGACCTTATCAACCAAATGTACAAACGCATCATGTCCGAAGACAAGGACCTCTGCATAAACACACAGAAGAACCTCAACAACGGCGTCTCCGTCAACGGCGAACTCCACCCCAAGATGGAGAAGGGCCCGTTGTACTTCCAGGCAACGGTGCGGGAGATTGTCACCGAGCACCGTGAGAATGAGGAGAAAGAGGGGAAGGAGATCTGGCCTGCTAGGCAGAGGTTGCCGGAGACGACGGCTGCGGGGGTTAGTAAGGAGGATGATGAGTTTTGTAGGGAGTTGGATATGACTGGGAAGAAGGGGCAGAGGGATGTTGTTGGTGGTGGTGGTGGCGAGGGGTGTGGGATGGAGGGTTGTTGCTCAGCTGGAGGGATGGGGGGTGGTGGTGCGCCGGCTAGTGGTAGTCTTGTTTATTAGGTGCTGTATGATTGTATGATTTAGCTATGACTTGATTTCTTGTTTTGCTTGGTTCTTTTTGCAGAATGAATATAACGACTAATGCACCTATACATTGATTTTCTTGAGTCATGAACACCTTTTCAGTTTCTCAAAAGAATCGTTTTGGATTCCTATACAGAACAGAGCCACCAAGCCCCACGATAAACGAGTAGCAATCCCTGAGAAGTCACAGCTATTACTAAGCAATCTCACCTAGAAATACATTGAACACTCTTTGATATTCTGTCCGTGGTGACGTATACAGCCGTCGATAGCTTCAACCCTAACAAGACCGCGATAGCAATGATAGCGACGATATCACACAACAACAAACCATTCACTCATTGAACAAGACAATCTACCTCATTCTAAAGTGTCCACCAGCAAATACATGTTACACCGGCACACCGAAGCCCCTCCAACATGCAGCAGTACACCCAGCCTATGCGGGGTAACCGCACCGCGCTGGATAACCCGTTCAGGAAAAAAGGACCCCATTCCCATGCACGGTATACTCATCCGTCCCCACTGCCCTCGTACATCTGATATCACCACACCTCGGTATAGTATCATGATAGACATCTCCAAGAATATCAAAATGACAACTACAAATAACGATTATACCAACCCCATCCACATACACTTCTAGCAATAATTACTTCTTATCCATGATAACATAACCATGCCACCCAAGACAGTCATAATAGGCGCCGGCATTGTTGGCACAAACCTAGCCGATGAGCTCATTTCCCGCGGATGGAAAGACATAACCGTCATCGAACAAGGCCCCCTCAACCTCCCCGGTGGTTCGACCTCGCATGCGCCCGGGCTAGTTTTCCAGACCAATGGCTCGAAAACAATGACCCAATTGGCACGGTATACAGTCCAGAAACTGAGCTCGATTGAGAAAGATGGACAGAATTGCTTTAATGACGTTGGTGGGTTGGAGGTTGCTACGACGCCGGAACGGGTTGAGGAGTTGAAAAGGAAGGATGGATACGCGAAGTCGTGGGGGATTGAGGCAAGACTACTGAGTGCAAAGGAGTGTGTTGAGATGTATCCGCATTTGAATAAGGATGTTGTCCTTGGGGGTTTGCATACGCCTAACGATGGGTTGGCACTTGCTGCGCGCGCGACACAGTTGCTTATCGAAAGGACTCGTCAGGCCGGTGTCCGGTATCTCGACTTAACGCCTGTCACCGGCATCGAACAGACAAATGGCCATGTCACAGGCGTGACAACACCTAACAGCACCATCCCTGCGGACACCGTCATCTCCTGTGCCGGCTTCTGGGGCGTCGAAGTAGGCGCTATGGCCGGTGTCTCGATCCCACTACTCCCACTAGCACATCAATATGCAAAAACAACCGCTGTCCCAGCTCTCACCAACCGAGAAATTAGAAACCTACCCAACGGCCGCAACGCAATCCTCCCAATCCTCCGACATCAAGACCAGGATCTCTACTACCGCGAGCATGGCGAGCAGTACGGCATCGGGTACTACGGGCATCGTCCAATGCCGGTTCGCGCGGCGGACTTGGGCTTAACGCCTAAACACGTCGATGAGCAGAATATGCCTTCTCGTTTGCAGTTCACGGCTGAGGACTTTGAGCCTGCGTGGAAGGCTTCCCAAGAACTCTTGCCGGCGCTGCGCGAGACTGAAGTTGCTGATGGGTTTAACGGTATCTTCTCATTTACGCCAGACGGTGGTCCACTTATCGGACAAGCACCGAGTTTGGATGGGTTCTACGTTGCTGAGGCTGTCTGGGTAACGCACTCTGCGGGCGTTGCAAGGGCTGTAGCGGAAATACTTACCACGGGTACATCTCAAATCGATGTCGCAGAATGCGAGCTATCCCGCTTTGAAGAAATTCAAATGAGCCGGGAATACGTCGACGAGACATCGCAGCAGAACTTTGTCGAGATATATGACATTCTACACCCCCTACAACCCAAAGAGTCACCTCGAAACCTCCGACTCAGTCCCTTCCACGCACGACAACGGGAGCTGGGTGCATTCTTCCGAGAAGTCGGAGGCTGGGAGCAGCCGTCGTGGTACGAGGCGAATGCAGAGCTGCTCAAGAGCCTTCCGAATGAGTGGAAGCCTGTCGAGCGAGATGCATGGTCTTCGCGGTTCTACTCACCCATCGCTGCGGTAGAGGCGTGGAAGACGCGCAATGCAGCTGCTATGTATGATGTGACTACGTTTCATCGGTTTGAGGTGTTTGGTCCTGGGGCTGTCAGTCTGCTGCAACGATTATCCACGGGCGATGTCACGGCGAAACCAGGGACAGGGACTATCACCTATGCTCTTCTCCTGAACGAAGATGGCCGCATCCACAGTGACATATTCGCAGCTCGACTCGACACAGACCTGTTCCAAGTTGGCGCGAATTCTGCTACCGATCTAGTTTACCTCACCCGCGAAGCACGCCTCCAATCCCAACACTCCCCGGCCCAATGGGTCCAAGTCCGCGACATTACTGGCAGCACCTGCTGCATCGGTCTCTGGGGACCTCGCTCTTTAGATTTCATCAAAGGCCTCACAGCAGACGACTTCTCCAACAACGCCCTTCCCTACATGCATGTGAAAAAGGCAACCATCGCGGGGATCCCGGTCACAGCATTGCGCAAGTCCTACGTCGGGGAATTTGGCTGGGAGATCCAGACTAGTGCTGAATATGGCCAACGGCTATGGGACGCTATTTTCCACACAGGAAAGTCGCATGGACTTATCGCAGCGGGTCGCAGTGCCTTTAATGCATTGAGGCTGGAGAAAGGGTATCGCACTTTTGGCACCGATATAACCACCGAGTACGACCCATTCGAAGCCGGTGTCAGTTTCGCCATTGCAGATAAAAAAGAGGATTATGTCGGTAAAGTTGCCCTCGAACGACGCAGTAAACAACCGGCTCGGCGACTGCGCTGCCTTACTATCAACGACGGTCGTTCCATGGTCCTTGGAAAAGAGCCAGTGTACTATAACAACCAGGCTGCTGGGTATGTCACCAATGCAGCGTTTGGGTATACAGTTCGCAAACCGATTGCCTATGCTTGGCTACCCAGCACTGTGGTCGAGGGCGAGACTGTTGGAATCGAATACTTCGGGCGCAAAATCCAGGCTACCGTCACGCCCGAGCCACTGTACGACCCGCAAATGAACCGTCTACATGGCGCCAGCTCCGTCCCCGAGCCTCATAAACCATTCAAGTCTCGACTATAACCGCATACGGCAGTCCGGTGCGGAGAGCATCCAAGTTCATGGAAGACGGCGCTTTCCTGCGCGGCGCACCATATCTTCGCCCACGGCTTTCTCCGTGGCATCCCGAGGAGATCCATTATTACGACAGCGCATTGAAAGTTCACGCTAGAGCAGACATCCTTGTCTTGTATTTTGACGCAGCCGGGACGGCTATGGCGCTGGAGTGAGGAAGTACCTGACAAGCTGTATGAAGATCCGAGGCAGTGCGGGAGGAGTTTCCCATGAGGAATTGGAATTTTGTAAACTCTGATTAGGCATGAACATAGTTAATTGTGTACTTAAGAAGTGTATCAATCACATCGTCGTTAGTTGTCATCTTCCCAGCTGACAGGTCTTATCAGGATCGTCTATCTCCAAGATAGGCACATGGCATCTGATTGGCTTCTAGCACAGACTCGTTCGTATCTTTAGGGTCGTTCTGAACACGGAGAAAAAGAGAACCGCCGAGGGATATGGAGAGAAAGTCAGAGGAGAATAGGATGAAGGATTCACATGACTAGGTCACGTTGTCTGCTATTGTCCCCTCATCTTTTGTCCTCTCTTCCTATTCCCTTTTTGACTCTATCAGTTCCCTTGTATATCAGTCCTATATCTAGCAAACAACCAATAAATAATGCCCAATCCCTTGCGGACTCGATAAGAGCAATTCCTTCCTGTAAGTCAAGTCAGCTTGACAGGTGCTGAGATATATCATTTGCTAACGGCCTCCTCTGTAAGCCACTAGATATCATCCTGCTCTGGCTCTTATACTTCCCATCACGCCATTCCCCGTCGACTCGCCATGCCTACATCATGTCCTCCACCACTTCTCTCTGGTGGCCTCCTGACCGCGTCCAGGCCGCCCTGAACCCCGAATACATTGTCAGCAAGTTACCTCCTAGCTGCTTGCCCCGTCTGGTCGCCCCGCTACCATGGGGCGAGGGTCTAACCAGTGAGTCTTATCTCGACTGGATTGTCACCAAGGCTGGACGATTGTTTCTTATACTCGCGGACATTGGTATTCCCGAGCGGATATTTGCTCTTGTCGATGCTTCTGTGGATGATGTCGACTTGCCATTTGCCGCGCATAGCATTGACCTTCTTCACCTCTCTCCGGATGGTGACAACCCGGCCCTAGATGCAAAGTTCTTCCATGCCCAATGGCGCTTCACCGTGCGGGGAATTGAGGGGGGTGAGTATGTCAAGTTCACAGCCAACGAAGGTGTACCCATTGAGGTGCAACGGACAGACAGCACATTAGCCAAGGAGGGCGTTGAAAAGGTCGTCCTAGCAGGTGCTGTGTGTCGAATCTACCTCCGCACACAGGTCACCATTGGCGCCGCGCCGCATTTCTTCGAAGAGGACGAGGTGCTGGAGGAGATTCGTTCATTGAGACGACTGGCCCACGATCATGTCTTCTCCACCTATGCATCATACTATAGCGCGATCGACAAAACCGTCTGCATCCTCTTCAACGGACACTATGAACGCACACTCCTATCCTTCCTCACAGATCCGCCGCCTACCTTCAAACGTCTAGAAAAAGCCCACCGTCGCTATATCCTCGTCAACTGGCCGCACTGTCTAGCCAATGGTCTGGCATGGCTACATGCGCATGGGCATCCACACCGCGGCATCCGCCCCTCCAACATCCTCATCGACGCTGACTTCCGCATCTTCCTCGGCCAATTCGAAGAACTGGACACCCTCCTCCCCCCACTGAAAGTCGACGACGTCGAGGCATACCAGTACGGCGCTCCAGAACGCTGGCAACGCTCCGCTGCAGTCCAAGACACCCAACCCCATCAGCCACTCCTCCTCCCATCCGGGGGCCGCACGGCACGCAGGCCGTCGATGAAATCCGCAAAACTAAACCTCCCCAAAATACGGGGCCCATCCAACCCTGAAAACACAACCATCAGATCCGACTCAGTAGGATCCCAAGACACCGCCATCCGAGTTACTTCCCCTCGGGCCCGATTCTCCTTCGCCCTCTCAACAACCTCATCCGCCTCCTCCGCCTCCAGCGACGGCAGCAATAACAACACCAACTCCCGCAAGCGAATCCTCCCATCTATTAGACAAAGACCAATCTTCTATACCCCCTCCATCGCCTCTTCATCATCTTCCTCTGGCGCCTCTACCCGTCCTCTCTCCACAATCACCACCACAACAACAACAACAACCACAGACCAATCCCTAAATAATACAAACAACCACACAATAATCCAAACCTGGCACGCAGCTACAGCAACTGCCACAGCCTCAGATATCTTCTCCTTAGCCGCTATAACCCTCGACATCCTAACTATTCTCTGCAAACGCAAGCTTTCATCCTTCACGCACCACCGCGGCGCAAAAAACCGCACCGCGGGGCGTGGCGGCGGCGTTGCGGATTCATCCTTCCACCTCGATCGTAACGCAGATCAGGTATTCTCGTGGATATCCTTGCTAGAGAAGGACGCGGAGAAAAAGCGCAAATCCGACTTCGCAGTCTTCGGAGTCGGGGTGCTGGGGATGTTGAAGGTTTCTCGAGGAATGCTAAGCAGAGATCCAGGCGTAAGGCCGTCAGCAAAGGGAGTTGAAGGGATGTTTGGGGAATTGATAAAGAGGGCGGGGATTGAAGTCCATTGTCAGCTTTCTGCGCCAGAGAAATTTTCACGGGCCCAGCGTGCTCCCAAACGAGAGGAGAAGGTTGATGCTTATGCTGCTCCTGGATCATCTTCTGCTGATACCAGTGGCCGAGACAGTCCGTCTCCGTCGTATTCAATGATCGAGTTTGATACTCCTGATTATCCAGATTATCAGGATGATTATATTCACAGCAGTGACTCTGAATGAGATGCAGTCTGAATAAATATAATACTTCTTCAGCAGGATCCAGGTGGTATTCTCATTTTTTACTTTGCTTTCTACTATATTGTTTGCAACGCAACACTATGATGATCCTTAGAGGATAATACTTTACCTCGCTTTCCTTTTCTCTTTTGTTTTGTTATCATCACGCAAGGTGTCATGGAAGAGTGGGTGGATTGGGTTGGATTTATCCTATTAGCGATTAGTTAGGTTCATTAATGTATTTTAGTATATTTTGCGAATAAAAATTATAAAGAGGGTTGAGTTCAGCTCAAGACTGGTAATATTTGTATTTATCAGTAGTTAATAGGCACAAAGCCTCATGTTACATGCACCATACACCATTTTATGCTCATATCATATACTACACGAAAACATTACTAACTATACAACGAAAGACCTAGTTATACTCAACACCTAAATAATAGACACCATTCAGCCATCTGTTACATGACTACCGGGCTCGGTGAGGATGGATTGGATGGTGCCGATGCTTTCGGAGGTGCGAGAGTCGGGGCCTTCACAGTTGACGGTTAGTATATGATAAGGAAAAGAATTGGAAGTAGGGCTTTATTTTGGGTTGTTGAAGCGTGGTGTGTGTTTACCTCCGACGGGCTTGTAGTGCACGGCTTGGCCGTTGCGGTATTGGGGGATTTTGTTGGATATTTATGTAAACTTGGTTTGTAGGTTCTGTCGGGAGTGAATAGTGATTGTTTGTGTCACTTGTCTGAACTGGTGCCATTCTTATATTGTATGAGATTGCTCGCGAAAACAGGATTGTATGATTATCGAATATTGTGGTAATCGAGGATTATGCATTTCAACTCCAACATGACGTGTCGGAGATCAAGATCGATCGAGATTGAGATTTTATACCAACTTATTGAAAGTTGAGCAGAGTAGATCATCGGCAGCATACTTTACGATTAAGTTAAAGTTGGTGACGTCCGAGTGATCATTTAATATTAGTTGATAGTTACCACTAATGGCATAACCGGGACAAACCCTAACCGTCCTAACCACCGTACCTCATACAGCGACTAGTACAGCGACTAAAGTGGCTAAACATCCTCCTCCCAAGGCGCCCTAGCCCTCCGATAACTAACCCCCCACACAAACCGACTCACCATCGGCTCCTCATCAACCGCACAATGCATCCTCCCGTCTCGTCCCCTGAACCATCCCAGTCCGTACCGTTTACCCTTGCTGACGAGCATGTCTGTCATTTCCCGGTTATTATATAATTCCGTGCCTGTGAAATCTTCCAGCATGCGCGATTGGTGGATGAACGCGAGGATGGAAGCGATGGTAGATGGTTGGCGGGGCATGAATGGTCGACGGCGGCGGATGAAGATTAGGATTGCGGAGAGGATCATGAAGACCACGATGGCCATGGAGAGGATGGAGGAGGAGTAGAAGGAGTGTCGAGTTTCTGTCTTCACGGCGAGCGAGGAAAAGGTAATTGTGAGGAGATCGGAGAGGATGGAGCCCAGGCCGACTAGCGCGACGAGCCAGTGGTGATTGTGCAGCGACTTGAAAAGGATAACCCCGTAGGGCGTGCCTTGGTAGTCTAGGGTGAGGGTTTGTTCGGGACGGGCGTTGCCTTTCGTGAGGGTGTGGAAGGGTTCCATCATTTTCACGTTAAATTCGAGCGTGGCCCAGAGCTGTTTGATGAGTGTGGCTACTAGCACAGGGAGCCAGGGGAATTTGCGGATGACGTGGTTTAGTCGGGGGTCGTAGGTGATTGCTGGGACGAAGGGGAGGCAGATGATCATGAAGATGATGAATGCCATTAGCCAGACTGGGCGGAGGATGATGGGTTGCGGGTTTGGTGGTTTCAGTGGTTTCTCTGTTTCAGATTCGTCTTCGCTTATGCCTGTGTACTCGCCCTGCCAGATGGTGGATTTGTAGAGAATGTATCGTCGGTGTTGGAGTTGCTTGTGGATGTCATCATGTAACGACTCGTCCATTCCTTGGAATTCAGCCAGGATATGCGAACGGTTCGCCATGGCTGCGATACCAGCGACTCCAAGCGGGTCACTAAGAAGACCCGACTTGCGACGCAGTTGAAAAAACAGCACAATTGCGAGGACAGCAACAAGAATGAGACACGACGTGACCAGCCGCGACCAAACAGGTTCAACACGAAGGAAATACTTGAAGTCAGCATCGCACGGTTCATCATCACCCGGCTTTGGGATGTTAGGCCCAGGACCGCACGCAGGGTTTCCGACAGGCTTGATGCTAGGAGACTGCAGCGACGGCACAGCAGTTGTGGCTAGAATCGTCCCGATAGCAGAGACCAACACCGACCAATGTCGATACTTTGCAGCCTTGATTGGAACAAAGTACGACCACATAGTCACGTAGTCCAGGTTGAGACTCTTCTCTGCAGTATTGCCGGTCGGCTGCGACAGCTGGTAATACGGCTCCAAGCGCTTGACCTCGTAATCGGTAACCTGCCACAGCACACCGTATGCGACAGTCACAAGCGTGGGGAGGTATTTCCAGCAGAAGAACTGCCACACGGGAATGTCGGCTACCTCGTTGTACGGGATCATGCCGCTCCCCTTCTTTTCCAAGATACCAGAATTCTGACAGAGATACTCCTGCACACCCGCCAGGACTAGCGATAAAACAGCCAGTATGACGATATAAACACTCCTCATCGAGAGTGGCCTCCAATTCGGCTGCTCTGGATCGCGAGGATAAAAGTAGCTGAAGTTCGTCGCCGTCTTTTTTCCAAGATTTGGCGAATCCGACTCTGATGGTGACCCCATACCTTCCAGCACACTCAAGTCAACCGTCGCAGCGCGCTGATCAACAGAAACAATTGTGTTTGTCTTGTTGGCCAAATCCTGTCCCTGTTGTCTCATACTCTTCGATCGCAGCATGGGGTGTATCTCAAGACTCAGCTTGCCTGAACGCTCAGTGAAAGAGCCATCCGACTTCGTACGGGCATGGCCCTTCTTCTCATCCTTCAACAAGGCATCGTTCTGATATTGTCCATGAAATCCCTCGAAAAACGAAATATCCGCACCCGGCATGTCCTCCGGGGGTACATCATGCACCTCATCTAGTTCCAGCACCGAGTATCGATCTCTGCGGGGGTCGATGGTCGCGCGGATATCCGGTTTCGGCCGTTTAACGGAGGCCAGGCGTTGTAGTAGCGATTTCCTCGGTTTTAAATTTTGCGAATTATTCGGAGGGGTCTCGGAAGGTTCTGGCGCTGCGAATCGCACCGATCGTGTTCGCGATCGCGGTACCGATGCCGGTGGTGGAGGGGAGGGTGAGCGCTGCTTCTGTTGGACAAGAGGGTTATCTTCATCATCTGAATGCGCATAATCCGCACCAGAGTAGTCGATTTCGCTGGTATTCTGATGTGCCTGTGAGATATCCCCTGAATCAGTGGAATCGGCGGAGGGATCTGAGTCGCGCATTTTCGCAGGCATTTACATCCTGCGACTGATGTTTCAGATCCAACAAATCCTCCGTAGAGAGCGAGACGAAGCAAATGTAAAATAAAACTGGACAAAGCGCCGACTATCAACGGGCTGTCAACGCATGTTAGCAGGAGTCAGTTCGAGAGAAATGGAGATGAGGCTGAAGAATAATTAGAAACATTGGTCGGCAGTCATAGCAAATGAAATTAATGAGATCGGCCATTCTTCAATTCGTCGGAAAACCCGCAGCTGAGTCTAGTCTGACTAGCTGCGCATAAGCTGCAGGGATCAGAGTTATGGGTGGCTGGTTAGTCTGTTGTGCAAGTATGCGTAGAGTACGAGTACAAGTATGCAGTACAAGTGGTTGTGTCTTTTTGATAGATAGCATTCTGAGATTACATTGTGCCATGACTGAACTGACAAAGTTCAAGAGAAAATAACAATTGTCTCCAGCACCATGGGTCACATGATATCACGTGCAGCACATGCAACAACAACCCTACTCTCCCGTGAAAATATCTGGGCTACTTTGATAAAGAAGGGTCCATTCTTCCTGGGTGTTCAATAACATGAGGGCATGATGTGAATCCAGTGAACCAAATGCCAAACCCATGAACTGGGATTGACCTACCTAGTTGACCGGCACTCAATAGCTTGAAAGTACAAGTCTTCAGTTCCTCGGCAGAGGATATTCCCGCCACTGGCGGCACCGGAGATATTAAATTCCATTCGCTATTATTGTCTGGATATATGCAGGAATACAAGGCTAATTTCTTTCCAGGATGTCCAGGGGACAGCCAACACAACACGCATATCAACTCACGCTTTTGGAGATACATGATATGGCAGATGGTGGTTTGTTGCGTTTGTTGGAACAATGTTGATTTGAATAGCAATTTCCGTGCAGCTGTGTATCTGTAGATGATATTGGAATGGTAGCATCTGAATCCTCACCCCCAAACCCTACCCCCACAAAGCTACCTCCCTGGCCACTTCCGAAACAAATCCCCCAAATGATCCACCGGTGCCATCATCAACCCCACCGCACTCTCAAACGGCCCCTTACTCGGCACCCCAGGATGACTCCTCGACGGCACGAACATCTTGGTCCTGTCAAGCGCTCTACTCAAACCCACCGATTCTTCTTGCGAGAGTTTTTTGTCGAGAGCGGGGACGTCGGTAGTTTCTTCATCGTAGGCGTGGGATTTAAAATCTGTTAACAAGGATTGGAGGGTTGGGCGGAAGCGCGGGTCGGAGGGTTTGAGGGTTTGGAAGGTGTGTAGTTGGTTCTTGATCTATATCATTTATCAGCACCGTCATTGCAGACATACCAGAGATCAGATCCTAGGACAGGGCGTATACCCCTTGATGTTCTTGTCTATCCTTCTCCGCCACTTCCCTCCCCCTCCCCCCCTCAAGATATCTCTCCATAGCAGGATACACCACCAAATCCTCGGCAACGGCATGTCTAGCCAGTTCCCAAGTAAACATATTCTGCCCCCTCGTCTGTTCATCCGCATCGTTTGATTGTAAAATGCGCTCCCCGCAGGAGATTATCTCGCGGTGGTCTTCTTTTATGGAGTCGAGGATGCGGAGGTGGTAGGTTGGGCCGGCGGCTTGGATGGAGTAGGCGCGGAGTTGATGGGTGGCTGTTTGGTGGAGGAGGGGGGATGAGAGGATGGTGTTGCTTGTTGTTGCCATTGCGGTTGTTATACTTGGTTTTGAGGCTGTGTTTGTGATCGTGGGGATGGTTTTGAGGATTGTGCGGAGCTTGAGCATGCCTGTTGTTTGATTGAGTTGGAGTGGACTACTGTAGTGAAGTAGGGTTTAAGGATAGATTCAGTGACATGATATTAACTGCAAATGCATTTCGATACAATAATATCAAACATTATATCAACATGACCAAGACCCCACTGACCCAACAATGACATGACGAGCCCTAACTCGGAACATTTTCCCTATCTTCACCCCCCCCGCCCCCCTATCCCCGGTACATAACCCTCCTCAGAACAGTACCCCGGCGAAGCTACCCAAAAACCAACGCCCTAACCTCAATACTCTCCCTAGCCTTCCCCCCCTCCCCTTCCACACTCCTCGGATCCACAAACGCACTATGCGGCGCCCTTCCCGCAACCACCCCACCCTTTCTATCCCCAAGATCCTTTCCCTCAAAAGAATCCGCACACTTCAACAACAACCTCTCACCCCCCTCAACACCAGAAACATACAACCACCGCTGCTCATCAGAATGCAAGACACCCATGATCTCCCCATTACGATGCGGATAGCGATGCTGGATGTTCACCAGGTCTCGTTCGGGGAGGATACTTTTAACATCAGCGAGTGCTAGTGGTGCAAAGACGACGGTGCCATTGATCGGGCGCCAGACGTTGATTATCCGGAAGCGGCCTTTGAGTAACTCTTCTGCTTCGGATTTATCATCGACGTGGATGCGTACGCGCTCCGCAGCCGCGGCAGGTGATTGATCAACATGCGCGCGGTTCACGGGTTGTCTTGCTGCCCCAGGCCCTTGTCGGCGAATCGTATGGTCGAAAATCACGATCTTGTGCGCGCCGGGGACGTTGTCTAACAACAACTTCTCAACCTCAGGATAGTATATCCTCTCCACCTCTTTATCATCATCATACGTCTGATAGCTTGTATCTGTGTGTACATCCTTAAGCACAGTGAAGGCGTTGTCGTCGAGGGTATATGTATCCTCGGTGCCGCGGATATCCGTTAGATTGACTTGGAAGGGGACTTCGTCGAAGTTGTGCTTTGGGGTGCCCGTGGGTGGGTCTTCGACGTAGTTGTAGAGCTGGTTGAGGGGGGTGGTGGGCCAGGGGACGACGAAGGATATTGTTGCGCTGATGGGGCCGCGGGGGACGGGGATGTCCTCTGTTGTTTGGAGTTGAGTGGTTGTGCTTGTGCTTGTGCTTGTGGTAGTTGTAGTTGTGGACATTGTGTAGGCTTGAGCTTGGTAAGATGGAATGGTGGTGATAGTGATGGTGGTGATTATGCTGGCTGATGCGATGTTGGTGATCTCGGATGCGGCTATATATGTATTTTACCTCGGACAATTGCATTTCTAATCACTCCGCTTGTATACATGGCGTGCTTTTGGATGTGATGACGTCAGGGACTTATCAATCAACAATGTCTATTGTAGGACTATACTATGTAGGTAGATACATTCTTATAAATCAGGAATACTATACTAAATCCGAAAGAGGGGAACCAACGACGCCAGCCTATCCAATGCTGATACCAACGCCAAGCAAGCAAAGCACCAATAACAAAAAAAAAAAAAAAAAAAAAAAAAAAAAAATGTAAACGAAGCAATCAACTGAGTCAACTAGGAGGGAAACAATCACGCCTTCGTCCTCTTATTACTTGTCGTACTACCCCCCAGCATCTCCGCCCGATCCCGGTCATTTCTAAGCGGATACCAATGCACCCCCATCGTAGCAGGAAAGTCCGGGTGCAACATGCTAAACCTGTGCGGATCCTGCGGCACCCCGTCGACTTGTTCCGGACCAGGTTCGAGAAGTACCTCAATTAGATTGCGGTCCACCCAGCCTGCTGGCTTGCTGTGTAGTCGTTCCATGCGCGACCAGTCGTCTTCCATTTCTTCGTTCATTAGTGGTGGTGGTGGCGGGGCGCTGGCGTTGACTCGGGGTTGGTGGTTTGTTAGGAGGTGGTAGGGGAGGTTTGGACGAATTGCTTGTTTGTCTGACAGCTCGGCGAGAGCGTTGAGGGCGCTGTTACCGTGCGTGCGGGTGGATCGCGTCGCGTGGAAGTTCTGACTTGCCGTTCGGACCATATCAGTGGCCGGAGTACCGTTGTCTTCCTGACCGGTATGGTCCCCTGCGCCAGACGCATCATCCGCATCGGTATTATTGCTCGTCCCAACACCCCCTTGTTCCCCCCGCTTGGAAGTCGAGAAGAAGTGAATCGTAGCAATATGAGCCAGATTGGCATGCGAGCTCAGCTCCTTATCCGTGAACAACGATTGCAGCGAATAACTAGGCGGCGGCTGGTGCTGAGCAGCACTAGCCTTAGCACGCTCCGCAGAGCCTGCATCCCGCACCGGCGAACCCACATCATCCTCAGGAGCCTTTCGCTTCCTCTTATTCAACACCTCCGGTCCAATCCCGTTGCCCAATTCATCCAAATCCATGCGGTGACGAGTATGTCTGGTCTTGCGATTCCCATGGACCCCACCAGGACTAGCCGGGTTGGTGATACTGAACTGGTTCGGATGAAGGAGTAGCGAATTGGTATCCGCGATGTCCAATTGCTCCTTTTCCCTCATCAACCGACCCTTCTTCCCAGTAATCGTCTGCACCAACCGCTCCCGCAGCGTCGACGACAAATTAGTATACTCTTCAGCGGCGAAATGGTTCCGAAACGCATGCTCCCGACGGAATCGTTCAAGATTATTTTCATGGCGGTGCTACGCCAGTTAGCTCTTCTCTCATTCTCTTCACAGAGCACCCCTGGCAAGGAAACATACCACCAACATAGCCAACTCCCCATCCCTCTCCTCCTTGACCCCATTAACCTCCTGCACAAACCTCGAATACCACATCCCCGACAACCCCGCCATCTCCCTCCCAAAAACCCCACCCCCAACAGTCCCCTCCACAAGCCTAGCAACCTCCTCCGCCGAATCCGGCATCGGCCCCGGCACATAGGGGTCCGCGTTGTTGATCAGCGTCATGTCGCACTGCAGGGCATGTAGCTGCTGGCGGAACTGGGCGTCGCGGTTCTGGGAGAAGGAGGCGGTTAGATCTTGAAGGCGCTCTTGGAGGGCGCTGCGGCGTTTGTCACGTTTGGAGATTGGGGGGTTTGCGTTGGTGTTTGCGTTGGTTGTGGTTGGGGGTGCGGGTGCGGGTGCGGGTGCATTTGTGTTTGCGTTTGTGGGTGGAGGACTGGGAGATTGAGCTCCTCGATGGGGATGGATTGGAAGGAAGGGGTGCATGGCTCCGGGGCCAGAGGTAGGTGATGTTGGGGCCGGTGAGTAGGCCATTGTCGTACTCTCCTCTCAGTCCGGTCCGTCAGCGACAGTGCTAAAAGGTAAAACCAAATAGAAAAAGACAAGTAGATTGAAATGAAGGTCCAAAATGCGTCTTTGCAAGTATGCCCAAGCAAGAACTAGCAGAAATAGACACACATACGAGAGGACGGGGAGATCACAGAAAGCGAAGCGAAAGAAACACTCGCGATGGAGGCGGATTACCCCCGATGTGGAATGGCGCCGGCAGTATTTGACCGCCCACATGCCGTTTTTTTTTTTTTTTTTTTTTTTTTTCACTGTGACTGGCCTGCCAACTTAATAGTTATGATATTGAATGATTATGAGAGGATTAAAATATCTGTTCAATTACTATTAACCATAGCAAACACAACATACACATACAAGACTCTGACGCTGCTGTGCGTCTTCCGAGACTACTCCGCTCCGAACAACTCCGGTCTACAAGCAAACACAAACTCATCAAATATCTGTCATTGAATAGCAATCATACAATAAGTCTGTAGTAGTAGTAGTAGTCTGTAGTATCAGTATCATCAATCTTATCATACATATCCATACCAGATCAATAAACCTGTCCGTAGCTGTCCAGTCAAATCCGACCCGTTGTATACACCTGAAAAAGAAAACCATTCCAAACACCCGTGACACCATAACACAAGAAAAAGGGTATTCATGTCCAAAACGCAGACGCAGACGCAGACGCAGACGCAGAAGCAGAAGCAAAAAGAAAAATGCCGAATCAATCAAATTCGTTCCAGGGTCCAGCCACCAGTGAAACTTCGATCCGATCCTCCGTGCGCCGTCATGTTCGTACCGTATAAAGCAATAGAAAATCATCAAGAAATTAAATCGAAAGATGCAAAAGAAAAGTGAGAGAGAGAGGAAAAGAATCACTGTGATCTCCGAATCACAAAAACCCCAAGTTCAACCCCATCCTGATGCTCATTCTCCTCACCATAAGGCCGTCTGCGAATACCATCGAGAATATCACCCAGAAGCATAGCCGAAGTAACTTCCTTATCGGCCAAGAACATATTCGAAGACGTGCTAGTCTTGTTGACAGGCAGTCGACGGCCGTTCTGCCAGTACAAGCTGAGCACTTCCTTCATGCGGGCTTTCTCTTGGTGAATGTACCATTCTGTCCAGAGATTGCGGTCCAAATGAGCGTTACCCTTGCGTGCGTCGACAACACTGAAGTTCGCGGACTGTGCACTCAGGTCCTCGCATAGTTGGGATAGGTTTGACTTCATTGTTTCAAAGTCGTCCATTTGCGAGACAGAGGCCAGTCGGCCTAGGGAACGGGAGACATCGGCTGATAGCTCGTTTACCACCACTAGCTGTCGCAATAGGGGATCAAGAATTGGACCCAGATACTGCGACTTGAAAGTAGAACCACCTCGCTTGGTGGGATAGATGAACAGTAGCGAACCACCGTTCGGAGAAAGCTCACAAATCCGGTCGACCAAGTACGACGGACGGCTGGAGGAGAAGAGATCTTTATGCTCTTGAGAGGATGACGGAGGGAGATACCGCTCTAGAACAGAAAGTTGGACCGTGTGCGGGGGTACCACGGGCATGGGCCAGTGCGATTCCTGTATCCCAAGAACAGGGCCCCGGAAGTCATGGTACGTCGACACCACGGCCGCATTAGAAAAAATGGTGGAGTTGAAGTAATCCTCGCCGGCAGATAGCGGGGTACTTGGTGGAGAAGTGGGAAGGTTGGAGAGACTGAACTGCTCCGGAACGGCATGGGTAATGTTAATATAAGGAGATTGACCTTGTTGCATATGATTCTGAACAGCCTGTACCATGGCAGAGAACACGCTGTCATGAGTAGGAAGAGTAACCGATTTATCCGAAGCACGAGGATATGGAAGCGTCTGGGATACAATCTTGACTGCTTCCCCGCGTCCGTTTAGAAACGGAAGTTCCGATACTATTTCGTTAGCACTCGAACACAAACAAAGAAAAGAAAAGGCGACATACTCGCAGCATCAATCCCATTCTCCAACCATGTATGATAATCAACATCCATCTCCGTCGACCCCGGGCTAGCCGCCGCACTAGACAACTGATCCGACGGACTACTCAACCCATCAACCGTAAGAGGCGGGCGACCAGCATTCTCCATATTCATATTCATATTGATATTCACGTTCACATTCGGACCTTGATCCAAAGGCTGGTCCAAGCCCGGCCCTTGAACCTGATTAATCTGCGGCTCGAGCAAAAGCATCCCGGTCTTGGGATCCCACTCCACGTGGCAATCGTGTTCGTCCGGAGGCGTCGGCGGGAGAGCAGATGGATATTCCCCTTTCCAGATACCGGGGGAAAAATTCGGCGAAGGAGGAGACGACGAAGGTGTAGAGGGAGCGGCGGAGAGACGGATTTGTGAATCGACGGAGAGGGTTCGAGAACCGGGCCCGGAAGTCCGGGAGAGGAAGCGGGAGACGGAGGAGGGTTTTGTGAGGATGGAGCCTTGTGAGGCTCGACGTTTGAGGTTTCTTCGGGGGGGTTGGGATTGCTGTTGTGGTTGTGGTTGCTGGGCTACAGAGGCACACGAGGAGGTCGGCGACGAAGAGACGATGGGGCTTTCTGGTAGCATAGAGAAAGGTGGAAAAGGGCCATGGCACTGCAAGTGATGCATGGGCATGGAGGAGGGGAGATGGAAGGCGATATAGGGGCGAGGGAGGATTAGACGGCCATAGGTCGATAGCCGAGATGTTAAGTCGAGTCGAAGTCGAATCGGATGTTTCGAGATGACACGAGATGATACGGATTGTATGGAAAATGTGGGAAAGAGAGAGAGAGAGAGAGAGAGAGTAAGAGAGAGTGGGAAAGAGAGAGAATATGAGAGAGAGAGAGAAAGAGAGATGAAAGAGAGGAATGACGCCGGGTCAGTCACAGCCAAACAAGCAGACCCAAGGATCCTACAGCCTGGCTATCGGTCTAGACCGGCGGCAGTCATGGCCAGAGATATTCACTATATACTACTACTACTACTACTACTACTACTACTACTACTACTACTATAATCTATCGATCTATCTATTTATCTCTATTCTATTCTGTTCTCTATACCTATTCACACACAAATACTCTCTATTCTAACAATATTATAATATTCTCTCTCTCTCAATATCCTGTCCAGTATTCCCAATCCGGCTAGTCGCATTCGCCGCGCCTAGACCCCACAGACCAGTCTAGACCAGCAGTCTTCTGTCAATTTATTGGCTCTAGTGGCTGGATCTGACCCACCCACGAGGCAATACTTTTTCCACTGGAGATTTTACTTGTACCGAATACATACATAATAGTAGAGTAGTTATAAGACATAGATATAGGTCACTACGGAGTACATAGTATGTAGTAGATTCTATAGAATAGATGCAATTCTTTACTCACAGTACAAGTACGTGTACATGTACAAACTTGGCAGTCACGCTGACGTCGAGATCGATCCCTAGAAATCTCCGTCGGGGCCACCATCTGGCCAGACCCAGACCCAGAGCCTTCCACTGGTCCGTCCTCTACGAGAATCATATCACATGACAGCCCTCTGAGCCCTTCACTTTCCATGGTTTCCATGCATTTCCAGCACTCAATGGCACGACTCAATTGGTGGACAACCTGTCTCGAAGTAATTGAACACCAGCGAAACCGATCCAGTTTCACGGTCCGTCTGGAATTAATGGATGGCAATGTCGGTCCCGGATCATGAATCGGTGGCGGATTTGCAGATTCTTCTGGAACGGATCCATAGATGTGTATGTGTGTGTGGGTAGTGCATTGGTCTCGGAAATTAAGCACGATCATTCCATGCGAGATTATCTCATCATCATCTTTCGCCTACGGCCCTTCCATGCGTTCCAGTTCATGTAGCAGACTGCGTGTCACCATTGACCATCGCAACACGGTCCATGGCCTTGTGAAACGAGTACGCGGAGATAATCATGTCTGGCCAACCCAACTCGGCCGGACCGGGCTGCGATGACACGCGGAACGCCGGAACGGATCACATCGTGCGGCTGGTCGTGGTCCTCTTCATCGGGCGCAGTTCGGTTGTGGTAGGGTTAAACGAGTACGATTTCTCGTGTAGTATGTCCATTGGGAGTGGTAGATACTCCGAGTTGGTGATTTTGTAGGGTAGCGGGATCCGCGTAGCCGAGTATGACTCGACGCCGACTGGACGGTCAGGGACTTTCCTATTTTAATAGAAGAGGATTGGGGGTAGAGAGGGGCTTACAGATTGTCCAATAGAAGTATTTTAATATCACTGGTACCCAGATGGATACGGCGATGACCTGGCCGAAGTTCCAGCCGCTGAAATCGACCATCACTGGCATGTCTAGTATGCCCAGGCCAAGGACGATCAATGGGTATAGAATGACCATTGTGACTAGACCGAGTTCGATAAAGATAATCAATCCTTTCAAAGTCGTGCCCCGTTGGTGAGTGCGAGAAAACTGGTTGTTCGCATGCCGTTTCCACGGACTAACCTGCACCAACACAAGCAACACAAAACAAGCCAGCGAAACCGCATGAGGAACCGTAACTTCCACCGTCGACTTCCCAAACTTATAATTATCCTCAAACGCACACCAAATCAGCGGCGGCGGTTGTCCACCACACTCAAACACCTTATTCTCAGATAACGCCAGACTATCCGGCTTTAAATTCCAATGACTGCTCATGGCGAACGTAGCAATGGACAGCAGCACAGTAATACTAGAGCAGAATAAAGTGTACCACGACTCCATGTCGAGTTTATACAACAGCCACAGGCCGAAGGTGATGGGGACGTTTGCTCCCAGTGACACGCATCTTGTTGTTAGGATGTCCCTCACGAGCTGGAATAGATTACTAGCATCGAAGATGTCGGGGGTTCTGGAGAGTGCTAGGATGGAGGCGAGTTGGATGGCTATCATAAAGTAGCATTGTGTTTCTTGGAACTCGACTAGGACGAAGCGGGCTATTAAGCGATGTTTGGCAGCCTTTTCGATGAGATGTGCACGAATTCGATTGCGATATGCTTCTTTCAGGCCGGATTTATCAAATAACCTAGTCAAGAAATCACAAGTCGCAGGAAGATAATCGAGAACCCGCACAACCAACCAAATATACAAAACCATACTCGCCTGCATAACATACGATATCAAAGCCTGCACTCATTAGCCCAATTCATCCCACCACCACCACCACCACCACCACCATAATAAAGAAAGAATACAAAACCCCGGCCCCGCAATATCCGCATTAGGCTCAAGAGGCAATCCATGCGTCCCGCGACAAGCCTCCCGCCCTGAACCCAATATTCGGAAACAACTGCAACCCATACCCCCCCTTATCATACTCCTCAAGACGCATGCAATCAGCCGTCGCATTGCAATACCCAACTATACACTCATGGATCACCTGACCAAAGGGAGTATTGAATGACAGAGATGCTGCTGAGGCGTCGTCTGTCACATTCCCTAGGGAGTAGAAACAGCTGGAGAAGGTGTGGAAGTTGAGGAAGGCGTATTGGAAGGTCTAGGCATGGTGTGTTGTTGTTCATGGTTATTGTTATTATTTGTGGTGGTCATGGGGGAGGTTGGTTTAGGGGTAATCGTGTTCATGTATCTCGTATGGCTGAGGCTGATCGTCGCTTCATGGTGGCGGCTGGTGGTATGCAGGCGAGATGGCATAGCTACAACTGGTCAGCTCAGACTTGTACGGGTATTTTTGATAGAATATGCGAATATTATGATGGGATGGTATAAGCATAGGGAATTGAGAAGTGAAGAACAGGTGAATTGGAGAATAGATGAGGCTCCAACTGGTGCTTTGTTTGTCACCCGTATTTGGTAGATTGGTCTATGGCAAATTGAACTACAGCGGGGTATTGGTAGTTAGAGTAAAATAATATTTTGGATGATTATCATTATTGTGGTTATTATGAGATTAGGATAATTAGGTATGTAGGTAGAGCTTTTATCGGAACTGAAAACAATTCAGATCCTCGCGACCATGGTCGCTGTCATGTCTCGTTTGAGAGAACTTCCTCCACACTCTGATGTCGTGCCGCCCGTATCGGCGTAGGGGTCGCAGTCTCAGATGCTGCGTGTCGACGTGTGGTCATTGAGTTGCTTCAATGAGACGGAAGCGTGGGAGACGGATGGAGAAACGAAGAATATCGATCCAGTCGATACGTCGGTCTCTTGAGTCGGTGCTCGCTGCGTAGGCTTAGGATAGTGCCTTGCATATCTCAGAAGCGAGTATGTTGTGAAGCCGTGTCACTGGCGACTTTGGCGAAGGGGTTGTAAGAATAGCAAGCAAGACCAAAGTGGTCTCGCGCACCGATGGTTCACGTCATGTTTATTCTCCGAGAGTCAACACTGCGGACATGGAATCGCTGGTGACGGCGGCTTTGCATGAAGCAGTTGTTCATCTTGAGCCGCTTTTGGTCTTCGGCAGCAACTGGCACTTGCTTCCAGGCACAGTTGGTCTGCTTAACGGTATGTACTTGCGTTTGCGATTGTTCAAACTCCCGCTGCTCTGCGGTAGACTGCAGCTCCAGACACTGCATTGCCAGCTGCTTGACCCCGTCGGTCAGACTGCAGGCACGGTATTCAATCTCGGGCCAGAAGTCGTCACCCCAGAAGGTATCCTCGCGCACAGCAGTCTCCAATGTCTCAAGCCAGAAGTCGAAAGACGGAAGACGTCTCTTCCCGACAGGCACGTCGTGGCCTTGAAGGTGGCCGGAAAGGAGGCACGCGACCGCGATGAATCGGATGGTGGGTTCGGAGTGCATCACATGCAGCACGATGCAGGCGGGGCAACGTTCAGTCAGGTACCAATCATGTTCCTCGCTCAGGATGCAGTGCAGCCATGCATATGCACTGCGAGCTTCGCCCTTGAAAGCGCGTTCAGGTTCTGTGGCCCGCGAACTGGGCAGGACACTAGTCGCAATGCGCGAGGCCTGGGTGTGGAGGAGGAATAAGGGGACGAGGAGGGTGTGGATAATGTCACGGTGGAGACGGAAAGACTCTTGGTCTTGGTGGGAGCAGGAATCGCGATGGTGAGAGCAGAAGCTATACATTATTATTAGCATTTATCCACACCTCTATATATCAGTGGCAATGCTTACCTTGGAGCATCCATTCCTAATTCCTGGCGGCGCAGGTGTTCCCTGACCGCGGTGAAGGCATTATTGTTTGCCAGATCCTCCAGGTGTTTCCTGGGGATCTGAAACGGCGAGACGATTCCAGTCGACATGATGAATCCTCCTTAATTGTGCAGCAATAACGATTGTATCCTTCCAAGGTAGTTTTATAAGAAACGAGTGACGGCGATGGTGACGGCGATGGTGACGTCCGCGACGAAAATGGAAACCGAGAGTTGACCAATTAGAGACGAATAGCAAGATGTCGAATACCGTTGGAGACGGACAGAACCATGGATCGCATCATTCGGAATCGCGAGTGATGAACAAACGAATGTTTCGAGATATAAGAGTTTATATCGTACAGGGTAAAGGAGTCGCAAAGAAAAGGGACTAGAATCGCGATGGAAAAAGCGCAGGCAAAGCACTATTTAAACTAGTGTGTAGTGTGCACAGAGTCCGAAAGCGGCCCGTCAGGTGAGGCACGTCATCCACGCAAGCCTCGCTGATCATTACACAGGCGTCGTTTCACTTCTGCGTGGTGTGACGGTGGTATTACCAATGTTACTGTACCTATTCCTGATTAGGAGACTATAGCGGAAATTGAAGGAGGATCTCATTGGACAATTAAGGGGCGTAATTTTCGTCAGTGGATTCGGAACTTACGAACACATGTGGGGCTCCAGGGTCTGGTCGGGTCTTTTTGCGTTTGTTAAGATTACGGTATTTTATTTTTGGACCCTTATCCTACTGTAGTAGCAGTAGTGGTAGTATGGTATATCAATACTCCTATTCATTTGTATAGTTTATTCTAATTATACAGTGGCAACCTATTAATATTTACTACCCCGTACTATTACTCCGTACTTTTATTGACTGACTGTGCGGAGGTGTCCGTGGACATTCCAAAAACAAGAATCCAACTGCCGATCGATCAAGTCCTGCTGGCAATGAGATGAGTGGGCAATATGGAATCACGCTTGGGCTGGGGACGATCGCGATTTCAGGGGGTCACGGAGAGTGCTTTTACTATATGGGGTTTAGTGTGTATGCCTCAGACATAGATCAGGTGACTTTGTACCGGACAACCAGATTCCAGATTTATCCATACCTCAACTTCACTTGTACTGTTATGTTATGTCTGGTATCTATGAAACCAGTACTCCGTAATAGATACCGTTGAAGATGAACCTGACTGAACCTGACTGAACCTGACTGAACCTGGCTGAACCTGGCTGAACCTGACTCAAACGATACTCAAACAGCAGTCAGTGTCTTCATATTGAGCGATATATCGAGAGCACAAGTACCACACACTACTCCGGAGTACACTGAGATAGTTTCATGAATACCATCACAATCCTAGACTGCATCCTGGACAACCCTATGAATGTGCGACGGCTATGTCAATATACGTGAAACATCCGCGTTTCTCCTCCAACTGTTGCACATTACCGGGCCAAATCTCTTATTGCCTCAGATTCTGCTTCATCTCCGATATGCAATTGGTTGCCCTCGCAGGATCGCAAACACATGGCGTTATACTATGTACAGTACTCCGGTACGAACAGTATGTACTCTGATTGACATCATCCGAGCTATGGACATGTAGTACCCGCCATGTTCAAGTATATCATGTGCATCTGCACTGCACCTTTCCCCAGACGCGTTGGAGATGAGACACAAAAGATTAAAATGTTCTACGATGAACACTTTACATGTACTACTACTGAAGAACCAATGCTATACAGATCTAACTATACCGGGTACATGATTATGCTGGCTGATGTTTGTTGTCCCAATTTCCATGTTCGGCTCCGCGACAGCCCTTGCTCCTTCCTTCCTGTAGTTGACCACCCTGCCAGATACGGCAACCTGCTCCTTCCTGGAATGCCATAACACCCGGGGAACTCCCTTTTTCTCGCATTCCTCTCGCCTCCTCTCTTCTTCTCTCCCATCCTCTCTCCATCCTCCCGATCTACGCACGTTCTGCAGATTTATCGGCTCCACATTGTTTCTCTACATCCTACCCCTTCCACCACGCTGAAGATCATCCTCTGATTATCAGATCCCTTCAAAAATGCTCTCTTCTCTGACCTCGTGGTCTGCGGCATCGCTGCTCCTCGCGAGTCTTGTCCCGACTGCCCATGCTGCCATCGACAAGATCAACGCCGTTGGTTCCAAGTTCTTCTACGAGAATGGCACTCAGTACTACATGAAAGGTGATCGTCTTGCTAACTTCTGACGTGACCCACCTGCTGACTGCTCCAGGCATCGCCTATCAGCTCGTCCCCGATGACCCGCTCATTGACACGGATCAATGCAAACGCGACATCACTCGCATGTCCGAGTTGGGCGTCAACGGCATCCGAGTATACCATGTCGATCCCACTGCCGACCACACTGGCTGCATGAATGCGTTTGCGGATGCGGGCATTTACTTGTTTGTCGATCTCGACACCTTTGACACTCAGATCGAGCAGGTACGGTTTGCAAGTCTAATTCTCCACTTGTACAGCCAGCTAACGAATTAGACCCACCCCGAGTGGACTCAGAGACAGTTTGACCGATTCAAGGCTGTCCTCGATGAGTTCCAAAAGTTCGACAACACCGGTGGCGTCTTTGTCGGCAACGAAGTCATCACGACCAAGGAGGGATCCGCCGCTGCTCCGTATGTCTTGGCCGCGGCCCGTGATATCAAGGCTTATCGCGACCACAAGGGGTACCGTCCGGTCCCCGTCGGATACTCTGCCGCGGATATCGCCGAACTCCGTCCCATGCTCCAGGAATACCTGGCTTGTCGCAAGGATCCTCGTGATCGTCTGGACTTTTTCGGTCTGAACGCCTATGAGTGGTGTGGTGCCTCGGGCTACATCCAGTCTGGTTACAACATTCTCCAGAAGAATGCCTCGAACTATCCAATCCCCATTTTCTTCTCCGAAACCGGCTGCAACACTCATCGTCCCCGCACGTTTGACGACCAAGCGGCCATCTTTGGTCATGAGATGGGAGACACCTGGTCTGGCTCCATTGTCTACGAGTGGATCGAGGAGACCAATGACTACGGTTTGATCAGCTACGGGCCCTCTGTGAAGGGTGCCGCTCCGACCAACACTCTGATTCAGGACGGCTTCACTCGCAAGGGCACGCCGACACCGGTCCAGCCAGACTTTGACAACCTCAAGAAGCAATGGGCCACCTTGCACCCGACTGGCATTGCTCTTGCGGAGTACGCCAAGTCGACCGCGACCATCACGCCGCCTCAGTGTCCGTCGTCGACTGCCGATGGTTGGTCCGTGGATCCCAGCGCTTCTCTTCCTACTCTGGGTCAGACGTACAGTGCGACAGCTACCAGCCGTACCTCCGGAACTGACCTCCAGACTGCTACGGCAATTGTTACCGTCTCTGCCACGTCGTCTGCAGCTGCAGCAGCCACACCTACCAAGGAGAATGGCGGCCGTGTTGTGGGAGTTGATATGTCGATGCTTGGTTTGGTTGGTGCGGTAGCTTGGTGGCTTTAGCTTCGTTTTGTATAGATATGACGGTATGCTTTTTATTCAGTTGGCGTTCTGTATGCTATGTTACGAGCAGTGTGTGTTCTGTATTTTATACGAGCCGTAATACCCATTGGCAATTCATTCCTTGATTCGTCATTTTACAAAGTAATGACTATTGAAGTAAAACACCCACGCAAGTCGCATTATCACTTTGAACACCTTCCACCACTTCGTCTATCACCTTCCTAACAACCGCCTCTCCTCTCATTCCGCTGGTGAATCCCTTTGCCAACATCTGGATAAACCCCTCATCATCTACTTTCGGGCTATCACTGACGCCATCCGACACCAGTGCCAAGACGTACTTTTTTCCTTGTTCGAGGTTGATGCGGGTAATATCCGGCTCAGAGGAGAGGAAGTTGCCTTGCTGCTCAGACGGTTCCACTCCCGCACGAGCTTGTTCTCTCGTAAGCGGATTCTCCTCGTGCGTGTCGGGATTCGTGGCGGAGAGATTCGTAAAGGGTGTTTTGTATTCAAGGTCGCCGAGGGCGCGGGACATGTTCAGGGCTCCTGCATGCATTTAGTTCCCATTACTTTTGGGGTGTAGGGGAGGGAAGGGAGTGGGAAAGGAGGGGTACCAATCCGCGGTATTCCATGCTGATCCTGAAGAACTGCCCCGCCTGCATTTTCTATACGATGTTTTTCATCGGGCGAGGCAGGTTTATGGGATTTTGTTAGACATTTCTATACATTCTTTATTAGCATCTCATCACCCATCTCATAGAAACTAAAAGTGTAGTTGCATACCACATCCTCAACCTGATCCTCATTATCCAGCGTACCCAGAAAAACCTTTGAATCCCCCAAATTCCCAGTAACAAGGGCCCCACTTTTTAAATCGAGTAATACGAGTGCTAGCGTTGAGCCAGCGAAGGCGTAGTCTTCTTCGCCGTTTTTGAACGCTTGCACTATTAACTCCTCTTCTTCTTGGATGGCGTGTTTTATTGCGTTTTCGTAACTTTCGGGGTTAAGGGCCGAGGATGTTAGGGAGGATGTGAGGAGGGAGGGGAGGTGCTGGGAGGCGTGTTTTGAGACGATGTCTGAGCCGCTACCCTTCAGTTAGTATATATAGTTTTGATTGATTTGGGTTGTACGTTGGGTAGGGGTATGGGGAAGGAAAGAAACGTACTGCCCATCATAAACCGCAAAAAAGGCGAGATTGTTATCGGCCTTGGGGAGGAATTGTTTTGGTGGGAGGATGGTGTAGGCGTCTTGTTGGTAGGGGCGGGTTCCTTTTGCCTGTCGCGTTAATTTGTTTTAGTATTTCTTTTATACGTTACTATGTTGTTTGATGGAAGGGGAAGGGGAACGGGGGAGTACGGTTGCGGCGCCGAGGGCTTGGATTGTGGGCATTTCTGTGATTGCGAGGTCAATTTGGGTGGTTCGAGTATTGGGTGTTAGTGTTAGTAGTAAGGTAAGGTACTAGCATTGAATATATAGAACTACGGGGTACCAATGATTATATCCACCCCTGATTATAGTAGGTGACGTGAAATGCATCATTGGAGATTCCGATAAGATTAAATAAACTTGATTTTCACTAACTATCATTGCTTTTGACAGTCAGCAGCAGCCCTAATACGTCATTGCTACATCTCCGATGAATGTGGAGGAGATGTGGGGAACTCTCTATATGTACTTGTACTCCGGAGTATACATGTATGTATGTCTATTCAAATATTATCACATAAAACTATCAACAAAAACTGCACACCATGCTGGGATATATAACAATCAATCACAAAACAATTAAAACAACAATTCCACAAAAACAACCCCAACAACGCCAACCCCCACTCCCCGACCAACCTCAACCCTCGCCGCTTTCCCAGCAGATGACGACGAACTCGGCGTTGCGGATGGTGTATCCAAGCCATCGCTGCTAGTCGAAGAAACCCACGTCGGCGACCAGGGCTCCGTCTCCGTGTCGGCGGAGGTCGTGCTTGCGGTAGATGAGGACAGAGAGGAAGTAGTGGAGGTTGTTATTTGGGATTCGGTGGCGGAGGAGACAGATTCCAGGCTAATAGTCGACTTGGAAAGTGTAGTTGGAGTCGCAGCAACACTACTCTCGCATGAAGTGCAGATAGTCGAGGTAGAGATTTGGGTAAGTGTAGAGGCAGTGTCAAGCACTGAAGTTAAGACAAGTCCTTGATACGGTATGTACCAAGTCTTAGGGACGTTAGTCGTAGTCTCATAAGTAACTAGCGTAATGTCATCATCATCGAGGGAAGATGGAGCATCTCGAGAAGATAACAGCGAAGAGCCTGGCGTCGGGGTTGGTGTCGAGGCTGGCATTGAAGCCGGTACCCAAGCACGTGTTGAAACGGGCGTAGAACTCGACAAGGAAGCCGGGATAGCTGGGATAGATGAAGATGTCGAAACTGAAGTCCACGACGAAGCCGGCAACAATGAACTAGATCCACTCTGGCAATTCGTGCAAGCGGTGGAATTTGATGTCAATGTCAGAGTAGACATAGTGTTAAAGACAGAGGTAACAGAGCTTCCGTCAGATGAGTAGGTGGAAGTAATCGGACAGGCAGTGACTGTTTCATAAGTGACCAACGTTATAGTAGCCTCCTCGGTAGATGCAACCGGCGTTGAAGAAGCTTGTGAAGACGAGATCGATGCAGACGAGATCAGTACCGATGAAGTAGGCCGTGACCTCGGCGACGCAGGAACCGAAGCCGGCACCGAAGTAGGCGCAACACTGCTCTCCGAACAAGCCGTACAGACAGTCGAAGTTGACGTCAGGGTCTGTGTAGATAAAGTAGTAAACACCGATGTGAAAGAACTTCCTCCAGAGGAATAGGTAGATGTAATCGGACAGGTAGTGACTGTTTCAAAAGTGACCAACGTGGTGGTACCTTCTTCAGTAGACGTGACTGGAGTAGAGGAGACTGCCGCAGACGAGACTGGTGCAGACGATATCAACACCGACGAACTAGGCCGTGGCCTCGGCGACGCAGGAACCGAAACCGGCACCGAAGTAGGCGCAACACTGCTCTGCGAACAAGCCGTGCAAACAGTAGATGTAGAAGTCAACGTCTGAATGGACACAGTGCTAAACACAGACGTGAAAGAGCTCCCTCCAGATGAATAAGTCGATGTAATCGGGCACGTAGTCACGGTTTCATACGTGACCAGTGTGGTAGTTCCCTCCGTGGAGCTGACCGGTGCTGGTGAACTTGAAGAAACTGGTATAGATGGAACCGGGATAACAGATATTCCTTCTGCTGATGATGTAGATGGCCTTGGTGATGAGGTAGGTGTAGCAGAAGTAGATGCAGCGGCGACACTGCTTTCACATGAAGTGCAGACGGTTGAAGTTGATGTCAGGGTCTGTGTAGATAAGGTAGTAAACACAGACGTGAATGAGCTCCCTCCTGAAGAATAGGTAGATGTAATCGGGCATGTAGTCAC